TCTTTCTTGCATATATTAGTTTTTCTCACAAGCTTGAAAAACAAAATATAGTGATCTAGTTTTTTCTCACAAGCCTTTACTGAAGTGAAGTAATTTTATTTTCTGACTTTGAGCAAGAATTGCAAAAAGTCAGTAGTAAATACTAATGTATAAATTATATTTTCCAATTGTGATCTCAAGAATAGCATTAGGAAAACGGTAGACAACTATTAAGACCACATATCAATTTTTCTAGTTGCCAAGACAGGACACCATATCACCAGGGCTCAGTAATTGTCAAAATATTCCACGAACATTTTTTAATGGATTTGCTACTCCCAGATATTCACATAATTCGGGGTAATCGAACACACCTATGATTCTATCTTGTTTTATATTTTTAATAGTAATAAATTCAGTTACTTGATCATATATGTGCTTATATTTATCTGGATTGCATAGTGGCATGTATTGTATGGGGCAAGTAGTAAACTTACCCATTGCCTTGTGCTGATTATTTTTTGATTTCTTAGCCATTATCACTTAGCTTTGTCTAATTTAATTAATCTCTTTTTTCTTTAGTGATTATTCTTTAATATTAAAGGAGAATATTATCATTCAAATTTATATGGATTTACTAATTAAAAGATTTTAATTCAAGCTAATTTATAAATGCAAAAATAAATTTTATTAGCTATGACAAAATTTTGATGAATGGTGTATCTCATCCTTTTCGTATTCGGTGAGGATGATTTCAAGATACTGTTAAATTGAAGACAATAAAATTCTGATCACACAAATAGTTATCGACATCTGCATATATGCTATGCTAATCATTAGCATATAGGTAAAGAATACAGGCTAGTTTATCTGAGGTGAACTCATTAAAGAGTACTATATAATTTAGTTCTTTTCTTATTATCTTCGGATAGTCAAAAAAGCTCTGTATTATATAAATTGGGCTTATATTTTTGTGGCGCCCTTCAGTGAAATAAGGAACAATCTTTTTCTGAACCTTCTTTGAATTAGCACATAAGTCTTCGAATATAACTACTGTATCTCTTTCTGGAGAGAATGATTCCAGCTTTGGAATTTTATCAGGTTTTATTGCCCGAAATATTATATCTTCATGATATAATTCTGTGCTATTTGCAATAATCTGGTATCCCAATTTAAGGTATAAATATTTTAGTTCCTTAAGATGATAATCAATAAGTACTAAATCATCATTCAAAATATATCTAGTCCCCTCTTTTTTTTTGTTGAATATTCGATAAAGCTTATTTTCCAATAATAGATTGACAACTTCATTAGTTTTTCCTAAATTGGTGTGACTACTGACTAATAATGTAAAGGACCATTAAGGCGTTGAGTTCAATATGTTGAATTTTTTTACATCTTTTATCTCATCAACATGGAGAACGATTTTATCTACCAGATCAAGCTTTTCGACTTTCATATTGTTGAAACTAAGTATTACTAATAATACAGTATATTAAGTGAAGTAAAATTTCTTAGTAAAATTTTAAAGTCTAGGCTTTCTTTCATCTAAGAATATTTTCTCAATTAGCATATGCCTAATGTAGAGAAAAAGATCACATGTATAGGGTACCAAGATAAGATATATACCTTCTTTTTTACATAAGTCTTGCTTTTTTTGGTCTCAAGATATTTGTTCATCCAAATCTATTCCTCCTCTTTTATAAAACATTGAATTAAAAGTATAGTGCTGGGGTCCCTGGTACTCAAAAGCCAGTTTTAATTCTTTGTTATACCCATCGAGATACATCTCATCCAAAAATTTAGATCTACATGGTAGGAATTTCTTATTTAGTAGATCTTCAAAAATGTATCATATGGTTCTTTTAGTAGTATGATGGCATAAAGGACACTACTTAAGTTTTTTTATGATATATTTTAGTGGGTACTCCCACTGATGTACACTATTTTTACAAGACCAAAGATATATGTTATAACCATTTATTCGTCCAGTCTTTTCTAGACATTGACCATTTCGCTTTCTAGTATAATTTTTCACTTGATCTAACTCATTATTAGTAAGGGAGGTATATGCAATATGTACAGATAATATACTCTGAGGGAGAAGCTCGGAATCACGAGTCAAATGCATAGGTTCTTCTCTTATAAATTCTCACTTTGGTGAAAACTCATCACCTTCGAGATAATATAAGACAGGCTCATTTCTTGATATTACAATTTTTCAGATTTTATGAATAGAAGATGATCATATAGGATCAGTGCTTCTATGCACTGCTGCCATCCCACCCTCCTATTCAGCATTGGCAAGAAGATAGCAGACAGAATCACCTTTCTTTAATGTTATTTCATCCTTGCCAATAGGTTGCTTATATTTTGTTGATAGTTTAGATTCTACTCATTCTAATGCAATAGCTTTCACAAGTTCAAGCCCCCACTTCTCTGATTCTAGTTCTCTAATAAGATATATAAGTAGTTATTCAGATAATCAATAGCTTTTGGCAAATATCTAACCCATGCTTTTATTAATCTTGAATCAGAAGATATCAACTCAACAGCATACTAAATCTTATAAAGTATGCCTCCTTCCATCTTATTAAAATGCTTCACTATTGCAAGACCTCTATAACTATAGAGCCCTACTACTTGAATCGTGACATTGTGCTCTTGCATCAATCGGGAAGTTTTGTACATCTATTCTTGCCCATTATCTGTTTGAAGTAACTTAGGATAGATAAGAGAATTATTAGGGTCATTATATACTTTTCTAAATGCTTTAGCAACTTCTAAACTCTTTGAGGTAAGCGGAACTGATATCTTATATCAGGAGGTATAGTCTATTATATTAAGCACTGCTTTATATATTTTTCTCTTATATTTATCATGCGTGAGAAATAATATATTGGCTTGATGTACATAATTTGGTTGTGTTATTTTCCCATAACTGACTCTAGGAATATGTTTAGATAGGAAAATATAGATTTGGTATAATTGCTGGCATTTCAAAAAATCTTTACATTCACTTAAACAAAATTGATGCCCTTTTTTTTGCATACATCTCTTAAGGATTTAGGGTTAGAATAATATCCAGGTAGACGATAATATATATCATGCAATATAAGATTTTTTTCAATTCTCTGGGCCTCATCAGGATTGATATAGATAACTGATTTTTCCATTACTTTATTTGACAATAGTAAATAAAAAAAATGGAGGAATTACAACAGAGTAATCAAGAACTTCATAAAGTAGTATCGCAATTAGCAGAATCAAATAGGAATTTTGAACAATGACTATATACCTTAGAAAGAATTATCAGCATACAGGAAGAGAGAATACAATTCCTTGAAGAAGAGTTAAACAATACCATCGAAGCTTCTACAGAAGAAAAAGAGGAGTTAAAAGAAGAAATCTCAAAACTAAAAAGAATCGTTTATCAACTTGAGGAAGAAAATAAAAAGAAAGACAAAGAAATTTCTAATAAAGATAGATTAATATCAGAATTCGATGAATGCGAAACAAAATTAAAAAATTGAATACGGAAGATATCAAAATCTGCAGGTAACATCCCCAAAGCACAAGATTATACAACAAGATTAGTAAATGAGAATAAATAGCTTAAACGAGAAATAAATATGATAAGAACTAATCAAATGAATAGGATTAACAAAATAACTCAACAAAAAAGCTGTATTACAGACCTGCTTTGTCAAAATTTTGCATTATCCTTATTAAGATATAGAGATAGATTAGAACTTAGAAATACACAAGAGGCTTTACAAAATGCACAGACATGGAATTTTGGCAAAAATAAATCTGATTCTGATGAAAATTCTCTAGACTTGTATAATTCTGATGATAATATGGCCACAATAGCAGAGTTGGTTGATGCAATAGACTGATCCCTAAGTGATACAACAATATATAAAACTGTTTTAACAAATCAAATTAAAAGATCAACAAGATCAATCTGACATAAATATACTAACCTGCAACAAGAACTAGTAAATAAATTATGGAACCATGATATATATAGGCAGAAGCACGATCAAGCAATGCAGGAGCATGATCAGTTGCAGACTAATTCTCAGAATCAAGTAAACAAAATGTTAGACAATATAACAAGAAAGTGAATCTGTATTTGTGTATTACTACAGGAAAAATTTGCCTTACAAATCTTATATCAACGAAATGCCCACCATCTACAATGATGCAGAGCTGATAGAGATTTGTTAGAATATAATAGAGACAGACTTTATGAGCGATATGAGAAATGGAAAAATAAAACTCATGCAGAGCACTAGAATATTTTAATTTTAAATCAACAAATTTTTGCACTACAGAATAACCTACCTAATATACAACAAATAGGAATGGCAGGATATGCACCCAAAAAATTCTCAGGTAAAGCAGATGAAGATATAGATGAATTCATAAGAGATTATAGACTTTATCTTATAGCGGCCAATATTAATACTGCTAATGTGGCCAGCAAACAGAGAGCTTTAGAACTATTTCGGACATGCTTAACAAGTAAGGCATCATGTTGGGTCGAAGACAAACTCGTAGATAAAAAATAGTAATTGAATCATGTAAGATGTGGAAATACTTTAGCAAATATAGCCACCATAGTGGCCATAAATAATGCTAACATAATGGCTGCTATGATCAATGCACCAGATAGTACTTTACCATCAGCATTATCGGGTAGAGCTACTGGTGCCACAGTTATTCTAGCACATAATGTTCATATAGATAAGGATTGGTCTCTTGCTAGAGAGTGTCCATAGACACTAGTATAGCAACTAATACACCAAATGGAGTTTTAAATAATAATAACCATATAGTTCTCTCTGATATTAATATTAGTCAAGTTATCTATTGGTTTAAAAGAAATTATTCTACAGTTGTTTGAGAGCAACAACAAATGATTTTTGGTACTTTGACTCAAGGATTTGATTCAGTTAGAGATTACTATAGAAAGATAAATAAATATGCTAGCTAGGCCCAAATATCTAATCGTGAAAAAAGAATACAATTTATATATAGCTTGTCTTCTAAAAACAAGTTAGATTTGAAGTGATTAGGTTTAAACAAACCTTTGAATAATGATTTAATTGAAACCTTGAAACAGATTGAAATAGAAAAGAATGACATGCTTTTGGGTAAAGATATTTATAACCAGCCAGCTACTAAGACAAAACCAAAAGCACCTTTTCATCAGGGTATTACTACAGAAGATGTTGATAGAATTGTAAATAGTAGGATTCAGGCATTACAGCAATCAATGCTAAATTAATCACCAGCATCTTCTTCTGATTAGAAAAATATTACTAAGGCTAATTTACAAGCTGTAGCTAAATTCTTGCAAGAGACTATATCTCGAGCAACTAAAACTCTAGATAATAGTAAAAAATCAGCTAATAAGAGAGTGAAAAATACTGCCATTATACGTTTTTTGAGTGACTTACTAAGAAAAAAACTATATATACACCCTGCCAATAAAAATAATCATGATCCTATAGATGATATTTTGGTTTTTTTTTTTTTTTTTAATATTAAGGTGACCACTTAGGTCTCTGGCACTTAGCTTTATTCAGATAAATACAATATTATATCAATTTTACAAGGATACAACTAGCCACACGTGTACTTTTGGTACCTAATTTAAGTAGTCCGCCTGGGTTTTACACTAGACGCCATACCTGCAACCTAACTAGGAGATTATCTATTTAAGCTTTCTGATTATTTAACTAATGAGAGTACGACTAGCCATACATGCAACTTTTGGTTACCTATTTAAGTAGTCTGCCTTAGATTACATACTAGCTACCATACCTGTACCCAACTATGGGGGATACCCATTTAAATCCTCTGGCTCCATTTCTGTAACACGCTTTACCCTATCACTCTTAATGAGATTAGCAATGCCATATAAGAACCCTAAGACAGCAGTAGAATAGTAGGCTTTTTAGATACACAGTTGTGTTTTTTTTGATAACACTATTTATTCTTGTTTTTTTTCAAGTTTTTATCGTATTCTTGATAATTTATATAACTTATATATAACATATAAAAAACTTATATGAATGGTATATTTTTATATATATTTCACGCTTGGTGTACTTTTTAGATATTTATTTCGATTACTATTTAGCTTTTTATTACTAAGGAGTACACTTCCCTAAGAGTGTACAACGCAGTTGCGGAGTGAAGCAGAGGATAGTTATCATATTTGATTTCTATTTAGTTTTTTGTACTGGAGGAGCATAGTGACTCCGAATGCAAAGCGTAGTGTAGCATTAGTTATCTGTTTAATTTACAATTAGTTTCTTAACACTAAGGAGTATACACCTTAGGCGTGAGCGATGCAGTTGCGGAGCGAAGCAGAGCATAGTAATCTTTTAGTTATCAATTAGGTTTCTATGGTAAAAAAGATAGTTAAATTATATTGTCTTGCAGGCCCAAAGGATGACTCGAAGAGTCATGGGTGGTCTTCAAGCATCTGAAGTTGTCGAGCATAAAATTGCATGACATAATATCCTTTAGAATGTTTTTTGCAACGTCTACAAGCAGAAGCTGTAGGTTTTCCACAATCATCACATAAAACACGTTTTTTAGATCTCCAATGTTCATGGCATCCTTCAGGACATCGACACTTACGTCTGCAGACTTCTCCAGAATTGTGTATATATTCGCATGTATATTTACCCTCTGACTTTTCGATATATTTATCCCCCTTGATATATTCACTAAACATTTCAATAAATAAATAATTATTTTTTATTTAAACAAAAGATCTGGTATATTAATAAAAAACACTGAAAAAACATATTACTATGGCTAAGATACTTAAATGTCCAGGTTGTGATCGAGAA